GGTGATAAAATTGTCACACATGTAAATAAATAATGAAAAAAAATAGAAAAAATGATTTCCAGAAAAATTAATGCAAAAAAAACACATTCAAAATACTTTTAAAACACTTTGAAGTTGCTACACACTATTTTATGTAATACACTGTATGTTGAAAAGAAATAACTACCGGTATGTACCAGTATGTACCAGTATGTATCAGTATGTATCGTATGTACCGGTATGTACCAGTAAGTACCAGTAAGTACCGGTATGTACCGGTATGTACAAGAATATACCAATATGTACCGGTATGTATCAGTAACTACCGGTGTATACCAGTATGTACCAGTATGTACATACCGGTATGTACCAGTATGTACCGGTGTATACCATTATGTACCAGTATGTACCAGTATGTATTGGTATATACCAGTGTGTACCAGTATGTACCGGTATATACCAGTATGTATCAGTATGTATTGGTATGTACCAGTATATACCAGTATGTATCGGTATGTATCGGTATGTACTAGTAAGTACCAGTATATACCAATATGTACCGGTATGTATCAGTAACTACCGGTATATTCCAGTATGTACCAGTATGTACCAGTATATACCAGTATGTATCAGTATGTATTGGTATGTACCAGTATATACCAGTATGTATCAGTATGTATCAGTAACTACCAGTATGTACCAGTAAGTACCAGTATGTACCGGTATGTACCAGTATATACCAATATGTACCGGTATGTATCAGTAACTACCGGTATATACCAGTATGTACCAGTATGTACCGGTATGTACCAGTATGTATTAACCTTTTCACCACAGGACTTTCTCACCCACATTTTTTGACCTTTTTCTTTATATTCTTCAAAATTTCTGAAAATGAACCCTAATTTTCAGAGACAAATTTGAGTCAATTTTCAGTTTTTACTCAAACAATTTAGATATTTTTGTCCCAATCTTCTGAAGGAAAGTGCAGACTATAAACAAGAATTGATGATGAAATCAGGGAACTAATGGTGAAGAGATAAAAGATGTAAATATAGATAAACTCACTGGTTTTTATTGGCAATGCAATATTTTCTATAAATCCTTGGTGTCCAAACACGGCAATTTGAAAACTTTGTTTGAGACATATCATATCATACCAGTCATTGACATGTGTATACATCTTCATGGGAAAGTTCATCTGTTTAAATCTATACACATTAATAACACACATAATATCAGCGACAGTAAACGTATCACCAACCAACCACGCACTTTCAAGCAAATGCTTTTCCATCTCTTCAAAAAAACTGAAAATAAAATAATTTATTAATACATAATCTCAATAATATAAATGTCAAATTTATTATGTTATTTTATGTGTAATGTTGTCACTCATTTTTTATGTAGCCAAACTTTTTATTTTCGCTGATTGATCTCATCTCTAACAAAAAATAGAAAATTAACTGTGTAGGAATGCAAATAGTGTGTATTATCACTTGGTTGAAATAGAAAGCAGTTAATTGGTGTTTTGAATTAGTTATTTCATTTGGAATTGATGTTTTAACATGTCTTTACTAACTCCAGTGTATAAACATGTATTTACTGACTCCAGTGTATAAACATGTCTTTACTGACTCCAGTGTATAAACATGTCTTTACTGACTCCAGTGTATAAACATGACTTTACTGACTCCAGTGTATAAACATGCCTTTACTGACTCCAGTGTATAAACATGTCTTTACTGACTCCAGTGTATAAACATGTCTTTACTGACTCCAGTATATAAACGTGCCTTTACTGACTCCAGTGTATAAACATGTCTTTACTGACTCCAGTGTATAAACATGTCTTTACTGACTCCAGTGTATAAACATGTCTTTACTGACTCCAGTGTATAAACATGTCTTTACTGACTCCAGTGTATAAACATGTCTTTACTGACTCCAGTGTATAAACATGTATTTACTGACTCCAGTGTATAAACATGTCTTTACTG